ATCGTTTGTATAATTCGTATTTTAAAATTTAATTTTACTTATGTCGTAAACTTACAAAACTTAGTTTTAGTTTTAATTTATTAATGTAGTTGCTATGCATACCTATATAACTAATTATTAACTGGTATTCATGATACACAGCCGTCTTAATTAAATGGGAATTAATTAAATACCTTCTGCAAAAATAAATATAAGAATGTTATCTGTAAAATCATCACAGATAGGGAATATGTAACTTGTTTGAAAATAATATTATAATATACTGGGTGTTCTATTTAAGAGATTGTCTGTATTTCGTAAATGATATATTACCGTACTGGATGATATAATGGTTGCTATGGAAAAATGAGATATGGCAACGTTGATATTGCTGGAGTTCAGTAATGCCTTTGACACTCTGGGAAGGGAGGTATTGCTGTTTACTGTGGTTTTGCTGTTCATACTGTTGACATAAACAATTCATGGCCGAAGTATCCATTAACAACGTGGTCACCTTAAGATGGATCAAAGGTCATGCCACATCGAAAGATAACCGTCTTGCTGATTCACTGGCCAAGAAAGCAGCCAACCAAATACTTTTTGGACCTAGCCCTTCCATTGGCCGCACAAAATCGGTAGTGACAGACCTATTTAAAGAACATTCCCTTGTGAAATTCAAGGAAAGATGGGATGAAACAAGATACTGCAGAGTTGCCAGGGAGCTTTTAAGTTATCCTGACAACACTGCAGCAAACAAATATTTGACTAGACAGAATCTGCGCCTAGTCACATACATTCTGACTGGTCATTGCCAAGTACGGAAGCATCTCCATACCTTGGGGCTATCAGAATCCGCACTCTGCAGAGGGTGCGAACAAGAAGATGAGACCATCGAGCATATCCTCTACGATTGCTCGACGCTCTCATTTATTAGAAGATTTGTGTTCGGCGAGTATCGGCTAAAACACCGGCCGATATAAGAGAAGCACCTCTCGGCGACGTTGTCAACTACATTAAATTTGTAGGCTGGCTCACGAGCTAGGAGGTGCCTATAATCTTAGGAGGATGCACAATGGGCCTAGTGAGGCCTATGTGCCGTGGGGGTAACCCACCTTCCACACGTTACAGATACAGAGAGACAATTCATATCTTTCTAATATATCGTGTATGTGGACGATAAAATGTCAAGCTCTCAATTAATCATAAAGAGAGTACCGCACGGTTCAATTCTGGGACCATTACTGTTTGTATTGTATACAATTTATATGGCTAAACAAGTAAATAATTGTTAAATTCATCAATTTAATGATGAAACACAAATATATGAAACCTTTAAAAGGCATCAACCTTGTTTAAATATGAATACGACCTTAGAAAATATCTATGACAGGCAATAATCTTTGGAAATCGTAGGATAGTCTCAATACTTGTGATTAATGGAAACAGAATTGATTATATCAAAAACTTAGGACTGGTGATCGATACTAAACATACGACAGCTTAAAGCCGTATTGCAAGAATGTTACATGTTTCTCAAAAACCTCTTCTATAGTAAATATTTTTTAATTTTTTGTCTACGAAAACAACTGTGTGAATCTCTTGTCTTAAGTTACTTGAATTATGCTGATGTACTCTATGGACCATGTCTAGATGCTGATTAGACAACACGAATTCAGCATGTTCAGTATCCTTGTATAAGTCTTATTTTCTCTCTACGAAGATCATAAGATCATGTGTCAGAACAATTATCAGAATTGGAATGGCTGAATGTGTACAATCGAAGAAAAGTGCATTTAGCTTGTCTGGTTTATAAAGTACTACAAAGCAAAACCCCATTTTATATTTTTAAAAAGTTAGCTGCGTGATCTTCCATTCATAACTGTGATACGAGGTACAGACATCTTTTTGTAGTTAATAAACATGAAACGTCTCTTTATCAGAGATCCTTTTCTTATAATGTCAGCAAATTATTTAATGAAATGTCTATAAATATGATGAGTAAATTGTCACCGCAGTTATCAAATTATCTTTCGGGAACAAAAAGAGATACATACTACAAAATCATCACCTAATCCTCATGTACTCTATTACTTTCACTATTTATATTTTTTGTATTAATATATTCTATTCTTGTATTAATTATTATTAATTTATTGTAATTTGGTACTCGGTCGAGTTGAGCAGCTGCAAGCTAGATTTCCCGAAAATTTAAAAATAAAAATCTTTTATTACTATTATTATAATAAATAACTTTTTTACTTTTTAAAGCTACGTATATTAAATATCGGTTTTGTAAATATCCCTGTATAAAATATTTTTAAAAAAATCAATTTTAACTAATAAGAAATTAGGTATATATTTGCATTTTTTTAATATCACATATTTTTGAAAACATTTTAATACACAAAGTTACATTACACCATTTTTAGATTTCAGAAATATAATAAAATTAAAAAAGTATCACTTTACTTCATTTTTAAATTGATTATTGTTCTTAAATAAATCTCGCTGTGAAAACCAATTTAAAAATATTGTTTTGGCTCTACAGACCGAGGGGTTAACCGGTAGCGCATCCTATAAACAGGGTGTTTCACCATAAGTGCTCCAATGGTATTTATTGTGTATTACCTACATTATCTGTGTTCTGGTTATGTTTCGTCTAAGCTCTAAAAATATATATTTAAACTGTAGAGTAAGCTATTATCTTTGATAATTGATAAGTATTTATGTTATTAATAAAATCTAGATAAATGTATGAATTGATACCAGACATCCAGATTCCATACAATAACAGCCCAACAGAATTAAATCATTGTCATGCGTGCCGGAAGTGATTTTAGGATATATTTATTGTTCTTCTTCCAAAAATACCCATATTTTTGGTAACAGTTCTAGTTTTTGAGATCAGAAAGAACTGAATGACTTCATTAGAGACCTAAACCACCCAAAGGCGGTGTAGGTGATTTGGACCCCGACAGGTCATACATAAAAATAAGTAAATTTAAAGCCCCTTTATCGTTAGGTAAATTCGGTCCCAAAAGCCCCTGACTGCCTGAACCTTTCTGTTTCGGGTAAAAGTACCTGTTGTAGAAATGGATTAAGAATTATGGTATGTTTGCCAAATTATGAATTATTATTACTAAGTTCAAACAAAGTTGTGAAGTTTTTCTAAATAAATTTAAATTTAGAACTGAAGGATTTTTATTTAATACTTAACTGCTCTCTTCTGCACAGATTAAGAAATCTTGAATACATATCCATTCAAAGTAGATTTGAAAATTAATAAAATTGTTCAGTCACTGTTATTTCCTGTTTTAATTTGTTTGCCCAAGGGGTCCACCGAATGTATGTGTTATTTATAATATATTTGATTGGGGCCCAATGTACATGTACCCCTCAAAGGAGCCTTCCGAATTAATTGCCTGCAGAATAAATAAAAATACTTTATCCAGGTACTAATATTTCGGTGCAGTGATAATTGCAATAGGACCAAGGTTCTAAGAAGTAAATAGAGGTGCTGGGTGCGTAAAAGTGTCCTAAAGGTTATAAAATAAGGGCAAGGAAAATTATTAGAAATGAATTAAAATTACGAAATAAAAATATTCATTAATTGAATATTTTTTATATTAAATTTATAGTCCTAGGAAATTATTTAAAAATAACAAAAAAGACTATTTGAATGATGTTCCCAGGCACTTGTTCACTGTAACGAGAAATATGTGAATATATTACTAAAATTTTTAGACCACAAGAGTCACAAAGCCGCACATACTGGCTTGGAAATATACTTTGCAGCAACAATTATTAAAACCCAGCCACTACCTCAAGTACCATAAAAAAAATTATCTACCGCAAGGTGGGATGATCTCATCACCTTATGGATCTATTGTGGCTCATGTTTAACTTAAGTTCACCGTACAAGCCATACCTTTTGATGAAGGCCATGGTTGAATTGGGTGAGACTTGTTTAGAATTGGTGGGCTTCAGTCGAATTAATCCGAAGATGTAGAACCTAGTTATTTCCAAATATTCCTGGTACATAGAATGTGCTCTGTGGATTCGTCTTCCGCGCTGCAGAATTGACAGTCCGATGTTTGTTGCAGACCAGGGAATACCTGGGAATTGCAATTTTAAGTAATTGCAATGAAGAAAAAGAAATCAAGAGGATGATGATGAAAGTAAGGTAAAGTAAGGTAAAATGATAAAACTAGTTGAAGACCAAAGCATTGTAGTTAAAAACTAAATTAATACACTATTAAAACATTTATGTATGGATGCGAATCATGGGCATTTAGTAAAAAGACTAAAAACAGATTAAATATGTGGGAAAGGAAGATCCCGAGAAGAATTGTCTGAGGCGTGAAAGATGAAAACGGCGAGTGGAGAAGACGAACAAACCATGAATTGGCAAACATGTATAAAACCAATGTTATAAAAAAGCATAGAACAAGATGGTTAGGGCACGTATAAGGATGCCGCAGAATAGGATGGTACGAAAATCCATGATGGGGGGAAGGAAGCAAAGAAAAGAAGACTTAAGAAAAGTGTATGCTAAAGATTGTACAGCCCTAGCAGTTAACAGAGAAAAGTGGAGGAAAGTAATGAAGAAACTTTAAACCATGAGCCTTTAGGCTTGTTGAGCTGCTACATACATACAACTGATCAAGGTATATTTATCTACTTTGTAAAATAAATACTTTACTTTGTATTTTTTATTCTTTATATACTAGCATTTGGAGCACGTAGTAACAGTAATGACCTTAAATGTACTAGATTTAAAAAATAAGATGGTTTTATTCTAAAAAAGCCAATATAGTGTATCTCAAAAACTAGATCTGATAGACCAATAATAAAATCTCAGGCACCAAAATGTCTGTTGGGCTATGCATTGTAAGCATTTTTTTGAATCGCCCTGTTATTTCTATTTAAAAAATATAACGTAGTACATAATGGACATACGAGTGTGGTCAAGCTTTATGCATATGTGCGTTGTTTGTATTGTGACCATTGTGTGTTTCCAGAAAACCGACAGCCTTAGTAAGCTGTATGAAATGGATGAAAATCCAGAAAGGAAAGCTTGGTTAGACAAGCTGCTAGCGTTCATGGATGATAGGAGAACACCTATCACCACATGTCCGACTATATCCAAGAATCCCCTTGATTTGTTCCGCTTGTATATGTTTGTAAAGGATCGTGGGGGCTTTATGGAGGTTTGTACCCTGGTTTATGTCTTGGGGATTCACTGGAACCGCTCACGTTACCGTCAAATATCTTGTACTTGATTCTAAATTGAACTTTTACTGTATAATTTCAATATACGAGTACTACATATTTGGTATAGTTGGATTTGTCCAAATACAAAAATGTTATTATGAATGGTTAAAACAGTGGAGAGAGAAGTTAGAGACTGTTTTGAAAAGAGTAAGAGCGCGATGGTGGTTAAAGTAAAAGAGAAAATACAGTGGGGTGGTGCTACGTCTTCTACTTACTGCAGTACCCTACTCTTTAATGGCGTCGATTAATTTTATTTTAAGGGTGTCCCATTAGTGCAAGGAAGTCCAATATCTCTCTTATCATAAAAAATATGAAATAAAAAAGTTGTTGCGCTAATGAATATTTATAAAATATTTTTAAATATAGGGTGTTCAGTTATAGCAATATACACTAAACGTCTGACTCACCATATATATTTTTTCACCGTTGATTTCAGAGTAAAATTTAACATCTATTTCAAAAGTTGTGTGCCTTCAAAAAAATGGGACGCATCACGTCAATCTTCTTTGGCATATTTCAACCCAAACAAAATTTTTTTTGGGAATGCAATGGTTCTTAAACCAAAAAATTACAAGTTTTAGTTAACCATCACCTCTTATTCTGTGAATTAACATATCCAGAAAGATAAAACCTTCATTGTTATGATTATTTTGGAACCATAGACAATATTTCTCTCGTCTTGGATATTTCACTAGAAAAAGATCATAAAAACATTGCATATAATTCTGTGGAAGTGGCTGAGGTACCAATCCAAAACATTAAATTATTTTGTAAATGGTTTATCACGCGGCATAACGGCAAGTTATACAGTTCAATTTTTTTATGATTTTGTAAAAAAAATTAAAACCATCCAGACAACCGGTTTCCTAAATATTGCTAAACGCCGCATTTAAAAAAAAATAGTATATGAATGCAAGTCAAGATGTTTTTGATAGTGAGCAAAACAGTGAATCCCTATTTATGTGTTTTATCTTGTTTTGGAACCCAGGTTTTTCAATTGATGGTTAAACCTATACTTTTTTGTACCTTTGAGTAACCAAACCATTTAAGGGCATTTAAAAAAATATATAACTCGGTATGTTTAGTTACACTTATTAAAAACTAAACACATTTGGAATGTTCTTTAAAATATAATATTTGAAAAAAAAAACCGCTTATCGCTTTATAGTTTATTACATAAATATTTTATTAAATGATTGAACATTGTGGTACTGTGTTTATTTTTTCTGTACTGTTTTCTAGTCTATACACAAAAATTAACAGTTGTATTTTTCTGTCTTGTGACTAATTTAAAAAATAATTACTATCTTACAAAAAAATGTGATAGGAAAATGTTTGACAACTAAAACACAAACGCTGTATTATTCATACGAACGATAAATAATAGAATGTAAGAATAAATAATTTTTTTTTGACAAAAAAGTTTGGATATGTGACAACCTCACTTAAAAATTTAAAATTAAACATTTGAAGGTTTTTAAAGTTTTGTAAACAATTCGTATCGTCGAATTCTACATTATTTGATATGTAATCATTTTGTTTTCGGTTTGAACATATTGTCTCGAGTTTTTTTATTAGGGGGAAAGGGGTTTTATTAAATTTAGATGTGCCATCAGTTGAATAACCAACCTTGGAACATATGTTAATCTCCACCCTTACAGGTGACTAATAATAAAACTTGGAAGGATATTGCTGGTATGCTAGGGATCGGTGCTTCATCATCAGCCGCTTATACGCTAAGGAAGCACTACACTAAACATTTGCTAGCGTACGAATGTCAATTTGATAGAGGTGGTATTGATCCTCAGCCTTTAATTAACAAAGTCGAAGCTACGTCTAAGAAGAAGAGCGCTAAGGCTACCTCGGTGCCTTCTCCGGGTTCCTCCAACTCCCAGGATTCCTTTCCGCCTGGGTCAGCTGCTGGAGCATCGATGGACGGTTATGGCGGGTACGGTGGGTACCCGCCTTCTGGTAATCCTGATTATCCACAACAGAGGCCTTCTTCGCAGTCCGCTCCTAGTCCACATGGAGGTAAGTTCGTTTTGATCGGTGAGAGTACAGTGTCTCTTTGCTAAATTTTTGATGATTGTAGGTTTTTTGCGTACCGCGTTTCTTTCGCCATGTTGAATGTATTGCATTTTGGTTAAAACGGGAATTTTAAATTAACAGTGAAAACCGTCATTAATTTTTCTTTGATATTCATAAATTTAATTTCCAATATGTCTTTCTCTTGATAATAAAAACCTAAACTATCAATAAGAAGGAAAATAAAGAAAAGGAAGAAAATGCTATGGTGTGGTTACGTTATATGTAAAACGGACCCTTAGTGATTAATCAAGAGACCAAAAGATATATACAGTCAAAAGAAGAAACGGAGAATAGAGAACTTTGTTTTATAAACCTTTGATTAATGAAATTCTGAAGGGGATCATTAATATGAACAGTTAACGCACTGGCTTGTCTACATCTGTCTGATTGTGGCACACCTCGATGAAATAGGTTACAGGATGACAAGCTGCTTGAAATGCAAAAATTACAGTAGCTTTCGTTTAACAGAGGAATTATCCTTATCTTATGGAACTAAAACCGGTTTCCAATTTGGAAAAGAACAGCACTTAGTCAAAGATTGCGACAATGACCTATCATGCCCAGCTGCGGAGTGGACGGCCACATAGCAGGTCCTAGTAAATGTGGGGGTTTTAGCGTTAAGACAAGCGAGAATGCTCGATAGACAAAGGAGTAGACAAGAATCCATGACAAGGAAAACCACAGATCACATAGAAGCACCCAATGGAATCCCAAGACCCCCTGGAGACAAAAGAAGCTATGAAATTAGAGGTAACTAAGGACCAGGCCACCCAAAAAATTACCGAATTTCTGCCGGGCATCAAAGTTGCACAAACAGTACTAGAAGAACTGACAGAAACATAATGAACTTCCATCCAAATAATAAAAAACCAATAAAGCTGATCTAAATCTTTCTGGTGATAAAGAAGAAATGTGGCCTCGGTGATATTTTCTGAATTTTTGGTATTTTTAGTTGTCGACTTCCTGAACAATTAAGTATCTATGAGCACAACTTCATCCTTATGACTAGTTTTTGATATTAAAGTTGTAAATTTGTCATTTTTTAAAAAGGCTGTGCTTCTTACCAAAATAGTTTGTTTACAGATATTTTCCAAGATTAATGCTTTAACAGTATCAAAGAATATATCCAACAAAATCTATAATGTAAATTATGAGTCAATAATTACTGAAAATTAAATTTTTATTTTTACTCTAGCATGGGGTTATTCTTCAAATTAATATTAAGCTGAAATATTGTTGATTTAAATAGTCAAAATTAAAAAAAGAACAGGGCAAATCAAAAAGTTTGTAGACTGCTGTTATTAATAAAGTAACTTGTCCTTCGGGTGATCATAATGGTCCCTCCCAAAGAATGTCAGACAATATAATATCGTTCCAGTCATAAATATCCGTTAAAAAATCCATTGTCAACTTTTTTTGATGGGGAGAAAGTAGTAACGAAAATCGATTTAGGTCTTACATTTTGGTTCTCTATACAACCGTGTGTGGAGGGAGTGGTGAGGGGGGTCGATCAAAAACCTCCAAAACCCAAAGGTGTGCGACTTTTGAGTCTAATTTAAAAAAAAAATTTTCCTATAAAAAGAGAGTAAGGGATGAGAGGGGATGAAATATTTTTCGCCTTAAAGTCTTAAAGCCATCGTACCCGAAGTTCATATTCCTAAGTCTAGCGGTTTTATATAACGACCTCCCCTGGGAGAGGGGTTTAAAATCATTTCAAACGAGGCCCGCTATTAGTTTTTTCTATCCCTTACCATTTAGGCGTGGCAAAGGAAGAGGAGGGGGGGAGAGAAGAAATTGATTTCGTTCATTTTTCACTATCCTCTATCCGTCCATGTAATATTGTCCATGTTGTTTCGAAAATAAAGAGTGCTCATGTTCGCTATAGGCTAATTTTATTAGTCAATCATAATTCATAATTTTGGATCAATGGATTTCATATATTGAAGGTTTGAAAGAAAAATACTATTTCCAAATTTATTATATTGAGAACACTAAAGCCTCGACTAAAGCTCGTCAATAGCTACTAAACAAAAATTAAAAAATGAAAATCGTTTTACAAACAAAAGAGAAAATGGTACTGAACTATATAAAAATTCAATTTTCAGTAAACTTTTACTCGTCCTGTAACTAATAAAAATTTACGACGTAGGTTATGATGAAAATAAAAAAAAAATGAATTCGAAGTAGAATTTTTTTTATACTTAACACGTTCTTTGTTAACGGTATATTTACTTGTTTTTGGTTTAATAAAGTACTTCAAAATGTTTTCTATCAAAAATATTTGAAAGAAGTAGAATATCTGTTTTAAAAAACAAGTCTGAATCCTGCATATTTGATCGTAGAAAAACTATAATATACGACTCTCTTAACTCCTTAAACCGTTGCACGTTATTACAACGAGTCGTTATTGCTACCAAGTTAATCGTATAGCAAAAGTATGTAATCAAAGTTTTTTGTTAAGAATCGCGGCCGTTTTAAAAAATGGCCAATTTGTCCATGGACACTATTATTTAGAAAGTCGACAACTACAATTTAGCAAAGAAAAATTGATGGTTTATTCCAAATTATTCTTTAAAAAGGATTTATTGGTAATTTCTAATATTGACTATTTGATTGTTGTCATTAAGCAGCAATACATTTAATAATTGAGTCTATAATAGTGAACATTCAGGAGACGCTATTTTTATTATACAATTTCCCATGTAGTTACATATATTTACATTCAATTCTCGGTAGTTGTAACCAAAATACTATTTCGAAAAAAACTATGGTTTCATTTTGAAAATTTTGTCAGCAATATTTACATGGCGAACTGGAAATTGTATTTTAATAAATCTGTAAGCAACTAATTTCCAGTGCATTTTTTAAAACTATAAAAACATATGTTACAGTTATAGTGCAAGATACACACAATGGCTAGATATCACATTTATGCATAGAAAAATAAAAATAAATTTATTCGTGTGATTAATGTAGACATATAACTGCTAAAAATTGATGAATTTGGTCTTGTTATTTTTCTTTTAATATTGTAGGTATTGTAGGTAAGTTACACTTATTGAATTATATTTAAAGCATATACAGTATGATGCAAATAGAAGGAATAAATTCATTATTTCGTAACTTCTGGAAATAATCCTGAAACCAGTCGGATTTTTATTTTCAAACGCACGTTCTCTCAAATATTCCTTTTATTCGAGACTTCATCCGTGTTAGCGTAATGACGTCATCTATGATTTTTAAAAAAATAGAATCGTGATTCACGCCATACAATTTTAAGTAATTCAGGTTTTTAAACTGTCGAAACATTTTTATTACAATTCTGCAGCTTTTTTCTAAAAGGGCCAATCTTAGAATTCTATAATTTAAGTAAAGAGCGTTTCAACTTTTTATGAAAACTATTACAAATCAATTAACATTATGAAGCGAATATTGTTAATAGCACTGTTGAAAATACTGCTAGTTCCAGGGGTGGTTATTTCGTTTGCATGTGAAGCATTAGTTAATTTTACATGATCTCATATTTTTCTCATGTTTACAAACTCTTGGTTCTGGCCCTTTTAAAACCAAGATAACAGTGTAACTTTTTTGAAAACAACACTAGATCATTTGGACTAGCAGGTAGATTTGGAGAAAATGAACAACAAAACAAAAATCTCTTGAATATCAACAAAATAATTTTTTCTTCGGATCAGCATCGCCGCCATGTTGGCAATCATACCCTATAAAAATAAATCGATAGCAGTTCAATCTGGCTACCTAGGAGGTCATTCGATTGATCCTCTTCGCCCAATCCACCTATCTGGAAAAGACAAATTGGCGGGATTTTTTGGGTATAAAGAAATAAACACAAAATTCTTCATTCTTCTTTAATTTTGCCTCCGCCTATGTAGTAATAGGCCATGACCTACAAAAAGTCAGATACGAGTCATGTCCGTAATAACTACTAATTTAGAACAAATCACTACATATATAAGAAAAATAAAAACAAAAATGAATTAATTAATTTCACCGAAAACTGTCAACCATGTCCAATTTACAACACTGTCGCTTGTCAAAATTAAATTAATAAAATTGTTAGAAAAAAAAAAACACCATATAGATTAGAAAAATACCGCATTGAGGACAAGGTACTTTTGATAGATAAAAAGATAACAGGTTGAAGGACCATAACTAACAACTCTGAATTCTAGTAGCAAAAAATTTTGCAACCTGTTAAGGTTTCATTAAAAAAGTATGGTCCGATAATCATTATTTAATATTTTATCATTTCCGCCCATACATTTAATTTCTCCGGGTATTGAGTATGATACATCTGCATCCAATGTGGATTTTCTGGAGCGCAATACCGACACTTCTGACGATTAAAGCCTTGGTCAGAGTAGGAACGGCGCGCGTCGCAATGCGATACCGCTGCATCGTTGGTCGCTCTCATTCTGAACGTTTGCGTTTGGTAACACTAGGTTGTTTTACCGACGACGCGTCGCTCGACCCAACGCTCCTAGTCTTAACAATGCTTTACATGGCCGTTTAGGAGATGTAGCTTCATCCGAAAAAAGAACTTTTAAAAAAATACAACATTTCCGTTCCTTTCCTTAGGAAAGTGATATTTTTCATAAGTCAATCACCAGCTCTTGTGATCTACTCACCATTCTTGAATCTCGCCTTCTTTTCACTATCCAAGGACAATCCTTTGAACTCGCCGGTTGTTCGATTCATTCCCGAACATACAGTTCCAGATTGAAATAGTCTACAAAATAAGAGTCACCATGGGAATCTTAAATTCATACTAAATTGCCTCTCATACTTTCTGTGTTATGTTTGTTTCAAAGTTTTCCAATATATTTTTATTGTTGTTCAACCACCCATAGGATTGATTTGAGAGTTTTTCTTACTTCACACCTGAACACGTTTGAGACAATGGATCTTTTGTTGCTTGTAACCTAGTGCTACTTGCCGTGAATGGTATGGGGATTGATTCTCTTCTTTTTAAACATCTAGTTTGTAGTTTTCTGCTAAGTTTTCTACTACCTTTATGCAGGTCTTTTACGTGGCCCGTTTGTTTAAATTTCTTCTCAATTTTGCTTACGGTGGATTGCGAAATTGGTTCTTTATTGGAATATTTTTTGTTGAATAAAACACAAATTTCTATATGTGTCCTTATTTTATCTCCACAACCAATCATTAATAGAATTTCAATTCTTTACGCTTCAGTAAGCTCCATTTTGATTTGATATTTGAATACAATGTATTCGATTATTATTACCATTTATATTTGTCAGTCAAATAAGTTTAATTTGAACGTAGCAATCTTGTTAAAAATCCTAAAATTCTTGCTACATTCATGGGTAATAAAATTCTTATGTATAAAATGTAGTATGGATCGCTTGGAAAAGTCCACGGACTAGTCCAAACACACTTTTTAAAAGTGGAAAATTGTATTGCGCATGCGTGAAATTAAATTAACTAATTTGTCTGAATTTCTTACAAAGGCAAAGTATAGTTTAAAAAAGGAGAAACGACAAATGATTACTGACTTTAATATGTTTTAAAGATGTATTCGAATTTTCGTTTCATATCTTATAAACACGTGAAAAGATGACCAAAAAATCCAAAGGTCGGAAGGAGTATTTTTTAAATGATTTTCTTAAAGAGAGGATAATACAAATGCAAATATTGTTCCTAAAGTGTTTTTGAAAAAACGTGCAGGATGAAGATTTTATGTGTCTTCTATGCCCTAGATCGAGTACTTTTCATTGTGACTTCATTACTTTTCACTACTTTTCCAAACATGTCGGTCAGACTAGCCCAGAAATTACTTTTCATGAAAAGTCCCATCTCTAAAAATGTAATTTCTTTTAATTTTTGTTGAATATCGAGGCCTTATTTGAATAACAAGAATGTACACTATCAGATCTACAAGTTTTGAAGTTTTATATTATTTTTTCTATTTTTGTTAGGTAAAAATTACGTGAAAATAAAAAAGGATGCATCGGTCAATTTTTTAATAACAGAAATTTAATTACTTAGAGATTTTTTTATTAAATATACGACGATATTAGAATTAAAAAGAACGAACGAAGTTTCCTGGAAGAAATTAACGTTTTCTTTCCAGTGACGGACTTTACCAAATTTACTGTGGTTGCTGTTGTAGTTTTAAAATTATTAAATTGGTTAGATTTATAATATCGCATGAACCACATTTCTATTTATAAAAATCATTGATAACGTCGTAACACAGGTGACGTCATGAATTAAAGGAATATCTAACAGAATGTTCGTTTGAAAATCAAAATCAACGGGTTTCAGAATTTTCCAAAAGTCAACGAGTTACAAAATTGCATCATACTGAATAACATACAGAAAAAATTAATTAATAATTTAATAGGCTTTAAGTCACTAGATATTTAATTCACCAACGAGACATGACGAAAAGTATATCGTCGTTGCCATGCCAAAACGACGAATTATACTGCATAACCAAACCTGTTTTAAAAAAGATGTGAACAGCATATATGTACTAAATGATAAACAAGTAAAACGGCGAATAAGAACCATTCTATATAAAGTCAAGAAGTGTGATTAAATTAGCGCGGTAAAACTAACGTGGACGTAGTTTTAAAAATGCACTAAAAGAAATTAGTTGGTGAATATTGCTATTACGGCATGTAGTATTAATATTTTGCTAATTACACAACGGTGTAACAAATTTTAAATAAAACGTCACATAAAGAAACTAGTTTCTTAAAAATTCCAATTACAAATAAATCAAAATCTAGCCGATTTTTAAAATGGATCACCCTGTATATCATTCCTATAGAGATAGGTTAGTAGCATAAAAACATCTTGAGTGCTTTTTGCATGGCTCATCACTTTTTGCTGATATTTAATTGAACCTGCAAAATTTTCAGTAGTGTATAGACACGGTAGTTTAAATGTTTTAAGTAAGGTGTGAATTGTGTGAAGGTGTTTTGAAATGTACCAGTTGGGTTATTATTTTAATTCCAGCGAATTTGGTTACTGTCGGTATCCCAATCGTTCGTTTGGTTTAGAAATCGGAGGTATTGTATAGTAATAGTATTAATTTGCACTTTGTTTTGTTTTAAATATTTCTAATTATTGGCATATCATTGTTGAGTAGGTAGGAAAGCATGTTTAGTTTGTAAGTGCTTTCTGTTTGGTACTAAAAATATTGATTGGCTGTTATTATTTTCAAGTTAGCTAGGGTGATTTATCATTTTGAAAATGTTTTTTGTCATGACAAAATTCCAGAACGAAAGGTCTGTAAATTTAAACAAACAATTCCAAGCTGGTATAGACTCATATTGTTTGTTTTTTTAACTAAAAGTAATGTTATCTGTTTGTATTTTATTGCTGAGCTTTGTTTATAATATCAAGGTAAAAAACAAAAATACTAGATTTATATTCTTTTACCAAGCCATCTTCCACCACATCCAAAAAAATAACACATAACTTGAAAGTTCTACAAGCCTTTTTAATTGAAGTAAAGCATGAATCACCAATAGTCACATTTTCAGATAGAAATCTGAACAAAATAAATAAATAAATAAAAGACAAAGAACGATCATAATCATTATTGTAATTGCTCTGATTATATTTTAGGACCTATAAAATTAATTTATTATTTATTTTGAATATAATAAGTAGGTAATTAAATCATTATTTTATTTTTGGAATAATTTCTAACAGTGAATTGATAAACTTGAACTTGAAATAATCTCAGTCATATTAAATATGATGAATTTTTCGACTTAAATATGAGTCTACCTAGTAGAGAATTAAATATTTTTTCACATAACTATATCCATACATTTATTTTACATTTCTAGTTTTACTAGCCTACGGATTCCCTCTGAAGATTTGTCAGTGCACTAGTATTCCTAATAAAACCTTTCCCCTTAGGCTTCTGTTTTAGATTTGTGAACAATAATAAATCTCAAAAAGTCTGGATGTGACAGCTCAGTGAATTCATATTATTGAATATTTTCTACAAATCTGCTACACATTTGCTATGCATTTCTAGTTATCCTATTGTTCTATAGCGCGGCTTGCAGTAGTTTTCTCTTGTAATGTTGTTTTTAACATCTTGAACATCCATTCCATCAGGTGTAAATATTGTACCTAGGTACTCTTTTGCATATTACGCCAATGTTCTGATTTCTGTAATATTCTTCCATGTATTTTCCTATTTGGTCGGTATTTTTTAATTTTGATACGTTTGTTGCCCTCCGCAACACAAATTTGGTTAATGTTATTTACTTGAAGTAGTCTCTAGTTTAATTTTTTCATTTGATAAATTTCGAAATACTTCCGATTATTCCTGCTTTACTAGTTTCTTTTTAAAGTGGCGATAAATGATGTTAATAAATGGATTGAGGTTTCTTAAACCATTGGCAGTGATAAATATAACAAAACTAATAGGCAATATTTGAACAATAAAATAAGTTAATTCCTTCTGATTCTTATGTAAAATGACCTCCTGAATCGGAATGTGAACCCCGTTTTCTCTCATCACCCACCGCTTTCGAGGAGCCTCCACTTACCTATTTTTATCATTTTTTGATAATTTGAAGGGATGAAAATAATTATTTTAGTATTTAATTTTTTTCTGAGTGGCTAGAGAGGCGAAAAGTTTTAATGCAAGAACATTTGTAGCAAGGAGGGAGATTTCTCACTTAAATTAAAAAAAAAAAATCTTTAATTTAGATTTTTCTGTTTTTTTCGCATTTTGCTCACTTATTTTTTATACTTATATTCCAGCTTTCGGCTCCCCTAACCCGGCTTAAAATAATAAAAATGTATAGCAATTATAAAAATATAAAGCAATAGTTCGCTCTCGGTGCTTCTCGCGCACAGGTTTATAAACTAATCCCCTAAATCTAAAAATGACCCTTGTTTTCCCCCATAACCCATCGTTTTCGGGGGAAGCCTCCCCCACCAATTTTTATCACTTTTTCATAAAGTTATGCCCATGAATTTGATTTGAAGGGGTGAAAAGGATGTAAAGAATAAATAAGTCCCTTCATTTGGTGCTTGCAAAAACCAACAATACTCTGCCAACATGCTCCTCCGAACTGTTGCTATATATTTTTATTATTGTTGCTATATATTTTTATCATTTGGGAGATGGAAGCTGGAATATGTAGAAAATAATTGAAAAAATTGCAAAAAAAACGGAAAAACCAATAATTTTTAATGATTTTTTTTTTTTTTTTTTTAATTTAACTACCTCCTTGCTGCAAATGTTCATGTTAACCTCTTTAGCCCTTCAGAGAAAATAATCCATTTCACCACTCCAAATTATCAAAAAGCGATAAACATAGGTGAGGTGGGCCTCCCCCGAAAACGGTGGGTAATGGGATACATAAGAATCAGCAGGAATGGTGTCAGGGCTCGAAAAAGCCGACTAGTGAAATAGAAAACACAAAAAAAAAATTATAAGCAAAACCAGTAACGTCCAGTTGTTTGTTGCCGTTCAGCAGGAGTCAATCATCACAACAACGCGGCGCCTGGAGGTCCCAGCCCTGCAGGCGGGGCTGCAGACAACGTGAGTGTATCCAATCCATTCGATGACGTATCCCCGAGCCCATCTCCGAGGGGTGGTCCTTTTCCCGGCGGACCGTATCCCTCTGGAACGCCGCCGCGACCCCCAGGTCAGAATTATTCCGGACAACCTGGGTACCAGTATCCGGGGCCCGGCCCTGGATCGGGAGCACCTCCAGACCAGTATTCCCCTTATCCTGCTAGTTCAGGTATGTCAACAATTTTATTCACCACTTAGAAATAGCTATAGATGTGCTTAGACCAATTTCTAACCGTGTCTGTATGGCTATCAAACCTATTTGTTCACTGCCAAGCGTTTCGCTAACGATATTAGCACTTCCAGTAGACAATTAAAATATAATTAACGAAACGCCTGTTTGGTATTTATATATAGCGTTTTACAACAAATTTTTGATTTGGTCTAAACATATTTACCTTCCCTTTCAGCCATTAGAGTCACCGAACCTCCAATCTTGTAAATAAACCTTACATACACACTTTCCGCTGACAGAATTAGTAGTTTTAATTTCTTGAAATTATACAGGGTGTTCCAAAATTATTATTTAAATTTTTACTATAAGTAAATCAAATTTGCATCTAGTTTAATTGGAATATTAAGAATCATAACGTTTCTTTCGCATAAATATGTAATATCATTTATAAACATGGGTGAAGGCCAGTGAATATTTCATTGGTTCATTTCCTACAGGTTTTTCTTATAAATTTATTGAACAGCATTCAGAATTTTTGTATTCTGTAGGCTCATTTATTGCAAACTGCAAACAAAGCTATTATATCTATGCCAGTGCTGACATATGGATTTGAAACGTGGGTATCATCAAAGGCTGATTAAAGAACATTATTTGTTATCAGTATGAAATCGGGCACTTTTGTGTTGCAATTGTGATAATCATAAAAATTGACGTTTTTAACCTATAATTCAGTTGACAGTTCGATTTTAAACCAAGCAGTTCGTTTCAACAGAAGTTAATTAATTAAGACAAAATTCAAAATCTATCTATAATTAAAAACGGCTACTGATTTCGGCTATAGAGCCATTTCCAAGCCTAAAAAAGTTGATAGTTGACTATTATTGCAAGTTTTTTAAACGATTTCTTAATTTACAAAATATTAGGTTTGTATACAGTGTCGGCTATTGAACGCTGTCCAATACACTTTGGTAATGTCCAACTACAGAGAGTTAGCATTAGCGCGACCAGGAAACGAATAATATCAACGTTGCCCGCCGCGTGGGGATATATCTCGCTATGTGCCAATTCGTATTGGAAGGCGTCCAATAGCCGACACTGTATAAATGGTCAAATAACGGGGTGTTAATTGTTTGAAAAATGGAAATTTCGAATCGACTGACCATTTTTTTTAATACTTTTATAACTGTGTGTGTAAAAAAATTGTTTACAAATGGTTCGCAGAATTCAAGAGTGAAAGACCAACGTTTTATGACGTTCTTAAAGAAAATCTTCCATGAACCTCTGTTGCGAAAAATGTCGATGTATTAAATGATTTAATCAGATTGACATGTGACATGTAGTGAGAAAGAAGCAAAAAAGTACGTATGATTTTGCACGATCACTTGCACGTCAGAAAGGTTTGCAGTCGTTGGATCCACCGCAATTTGAGATTAAAACAAAAACAGGCACGCATACAAGTTGGCCAACGAAATGCTCAAAAAGTTCAAATTCTGTGTATAATATTGCAAGAACTGAAAAATCTTGGATATATTCATAGGAAAGATAATCCATTTTCTCGAATGTGATCAAATTACTCCAAAAGAATAATAACAAAAGCACAAAATCTATACCACATATAATTTTGAAATGAAAGAAAATGAAGTGAGAAAAGTCGGTTGAGATTCGAAAAACTGAAATGCAATTTTGGAAATATGAAAATTTCCTCCTACGAAATTATAAAAAATACCCCCTTATATCCCCAAAGTGAAAAGAAAACAATAATTAAAGAAAGAAAAAATGAGTGCACCGTCCAGAAGTCGAACTTGGGACATCGGACTTTAGCCGCCCATGCTCTTCCAACTGAGCTATCAAGGCACATATGCTTTTATATCCGAATTCGTAGATTTGAAGTCAATCAGATTCCTACTCTCGCGAGTACACACAAATTCTCATCTCAGCTCCATCAATTCTTCTTAAATCTTCCCCTGTGACATCCTGTTGAAACGACGACAATCTAATATACTAGAATAAATTTCTAAGATCTTCATTCGTTCACCACTGTTAAGTTTTCGAGTACGGTCCGCCGTAAACGTGAAATGAACAAAAAAAAAAGTGAAGTGAAAAAAATCGGTTGATATACGAAAAATTGAAATGCAATTTTGTAAATATGAAAATGAATAATCCCCAATTCTTTTCACGTTTACGGCGGACCGTACTCGAAAACAACACTGTCGAGCGAATGAAGGATCTTAGAAATTTATTTTAGTACAACCTTTATTGTCGTCTTTCTGTACGATGTCACAAGGGTGACTTTATGAAGAATTAAGAGAGCTGAGATGGGATTAGAATTTGTCTTTGCGCCGACGAGAGTTGGAATCTGATTGATTTGATGGGTCGATGCATTAATTTTTTCTTTCTTTAGTTTTCAGCTTCTTCATTTGTTTTGTATGTTTTCACTTTTGGGGATATGGTGGGTGTGTATTTTTCATAATTTTTTAGGGAGAATTGGGGATTATTTATTTTCATATTTCCAAATTTGCATTTCAACTTTTACATGTTTATTATGGTTTAAACCTAAGTCCAATGTTGACATTATACTACAGATTCTAATAATTTAACACCTATGAGTGAAATAATTTAGGAATAAATTACAGGATCCGCGAGGAGTTAGAAAAATAGAAAAATTGTTTTGAAAAAAAATCTGCATTGAGCAGGGCTCGAACCTGAATATTCTGGGTTGCCGTCTCAACGTGAAGCGTTATACATCCAGCCACTCGGTTACTTGAGAATAGCCTTGATGGCTGAAACTAGTCACTTCACATATTAAATAGATTAAAATGATATGTAGTACAGATTTTGTGTTTTTGTTATTATTTTATTGGATAATGCAAATCCGTTAGGGTTTGTTGGAAGATAACTAAATCCGCAGTTTATCTATTTTTTAATCTCGGGATATCTATTTTTGAATATCGGGGAGTAGACATTTTTGAGGCAAGAATGAGACAGACATTTTGAGGAAAGAATGATAAATACAAATTTTGTGCGTTGCGGATAAAGAGGAAACATTTTAATTTTACGTAAAGACGAATGTACTTATTCATTGTTGACGTGAATAAATTATTATGTTGTATCAAACGAAACAACCCAAACAACCTTTGTGTGGTTATTTATCGGTACGTAGATGAAATGATGAGAGCGAAATTTATGTTTTTTCTCACCTACAGTTTAAATGGCATGAAATCCAATATATCTAGGCTATTTAAACTGAACTGTAGGCCTAAGTTAATCTTTTGACTTAGCATCGCTTTGCAACATCTAGGAAAATCACAGTCATCGTAAATACGGTTTTTAGGTGTCCTGTGAGGAGTTGATAGAGATAGACTAGTCATGTACGAGCACTTTTAAGAGTTAGTGAACAGAGAGTACTCATTCCTTGACACTGTATTGTGATTGTTCCTCAAAATAAAGACTATTATTATAAGATCTTATGTAAAATGTCATGCGTCAAGGTGGAACCAGTATTTTGAAAGCCTGTGACCACTCGTTGGCTATTTTAAAAGAATTAAAATTCTTGGGAGAATTTGACAACGTGATTACCAGAAAAGGAACAACAAACAACTCTTTCAGTAAGGTATCAGGTGTTTGAAAATACGAATTAAGAAGAATATCTCTCGAGTTTGAAAATAGCTCCCCGATGACGTGCCTTGATGAAAACAGATAAAAAGCGGTCGTATTTCGATTGCATTGCACAAAAATACATAACACCGAAAATAGATGCCTTATCTACAAGAAAATTATACGATTCCTCCGATGCTTCCGTTACGTCCGATACGAACAAATGAGCGCTTACCTTAATATAGGATTATTAGCGAAGGATTATTTTATAATATATAGAAAATAATATTACACCTCCGATATTTGCAATACCACCAAACAACGTTTACAAACATTGCAGAAATCGGAATGGTCGTCATCAGTTTTGCATCGAACCAGTCAGCAATATCAACTACGTATTTCAATTTGATACCCAGCTTGTATAACACAACCAAATACAGACTTAAAAAAATTGAAAACTATCGTTTTGTATTAGAAAATGTGATAGAGTATTTAAATATCAGATGGCGGCCATGGCATTTCGAATTCTTTAAAAAATGATATTTCTGAAAGATATACACAGTTTATATTTGAGATATCCAAATAACTTAATGATTCCGAGTTATCGATTATCACTTTTTAAAAGATCTTTTACATATAACAAAGGTTTTTACGAAAACATATTCTTAAGACCAAAATAAAATGAATTTATCAGTAATTTCACGTTTAAAATTTCTACATCATTGGAAGAGAATGGGATTGAGTATGAAATTTGGATTGCGCACTCATTTACTACAAAAAAAGATACTCTTGATAAGACTGGCTTACGAGCTAGGAAGTGCCTATCAATTTAGGAGGATGCAAAATGGGCCAAGTGAGACATACATGCCATGGTTTAACTCACCCTACATACGTTGCAGATACAGAAGACTCGGTTATTCTCATGGTTTTAGCGAAATTTGTATTTTAATTATTTATTTGGTTTATTTATTTATTTATTTGGTTTATTTATTTATTTATTTATTTATTTATTTTATTTATTTTTTTTAATTTATTTACCTATAACTGAACAGATGTGGTGGTTAAAGCTAAGGGTTGTGTCAAATTATCGCCAACATTTTTAATTTGTTTTACACTATCTAAAAGTTGAGCATTGATTGTTTACTCAAATGTAGTGAACTGTTGAGAACAATGGAACCAAATAATGTGACATTTTCCTACATTTAAATCCATACTGTTGTATTTGTATCAATCTGATAAAAAATTATTCATATCAATAGCATTTCCAAAATTGTTGACAATTTTGAAAAGTTTTAAGCATCTGCAAAAAGTTGACCAATAAATTAAAAAGAAAGGGTTCCAAATGGGAACCTTGGGAAACTCCAGAAGTAACAAAATAATCATGAGAATGGTGACGTTTTATTTTGACTATTTGTGTTTCATTAAGAAGATAGATTTAAATCAATTGCAATAATAAGCCACCTACACCAAATTTACTTGGTTTATGAATTAAAAACTCATGATTCAGTCTTCACTCTATCGAAAGCCTTGGAAAAGTCGGTATACAGGGTGTTAGAAAAAAAGTGTCACAAAATAAAACGGGGGGTAGTATGGGCCAAAATATGCAGAAAAGTCTTAATAAACATATGTCCGCAAATGAATGGTTTTAGAGATACGGAGTGTTTTGTGTTTTGTATCATTTTTTGATTATCTTTTTTCATTCTCAAAAACTTGCTTCTCTTATCGGAGTCTACCGATGTTTTTTCATAGATACTATTTGCAGTTATTATTTTGTTGTGGGTGAATAATTTTATAAATTTTCGTTATGCCTGTTTACACTAATATTGAATTAGCTGACATGTATTTTATGTACGGTCCTGCAAATGGCAATGCATTGAAATGGAGGGAGGGCACTTTGAACATCTCATTTAACTCTATGTTGTTATTGATTGTTTATAAATATCATTGTTTTTTTATAATAATAAAAAATTGTTATAAACACAAAATGGTCAGTATCTCCGAAACCGTTAATTTGCGGTCATATATTTATTAAGACTTTTCTGCTTATTTTGGGTCATACTATTCACCATTTCATTTTGTGACACTTTTTTTTTAACACCCTGTATATAGCGAAAGTAAAAGTTGGAAAGGCTTTTGGTAGGTAGAGAGGGTAAACGTCAAACCACGTCGGACGGCTTTGAGAATTTCACAGTAATGTTTACCTGCCAGTGTCGTTTCATAGAATAAGTAATTTTAAATTGTTATCGGCGGAACCGGACAATCGCATGTATTTATGGACTATAAATAATTATTAAACATGTATTATAATATTCAAATCATAATTTTACAAAATTTCAACAGCTATTCACAATTTATTCAACTATTTACTCGAAATTGTTATTAACATCTATAAAATAATTTTGTACGCCAATGTATCGCGTCCACTTCGGTGAGATCCGCCGCAAACCTGTCAATTTATATGTATAAAGTGGGACAACTGGCAAAAGCCTTTCCAACTTTTACTTCTGCTATACACCATCTCCAGGATTTTCAAAAGAAAGTTAGTATACCAATCAAATTCAGTTCAGTTGACTTGCAGGCACAAAAGCCAAATTGTTGCGGAGTTATGACACTAAAGCAGTCAAAATATGTATTTACTAAAACATGAATTTCATCAAAACCACTAAAGTAATCGAGTCTTATCAGTACGTTTTTTGGCAGTAAACTAGTTGAGCAATCCAAATTTTATACTCGACACCTTTTCGTCCATTGACGTAGACATTTTAAATGCAAAAAAAAATCAAATTCTATGCCTATGGATTAAATTTTGAAAATATTGGATTTTAGGACTTTAATTGATTTCAGTTTAGATTTAATACAGGGCTAATGTTAACTAATTCTTAAATAAATTGTTTTTTAAATTTTATATTTTTTTGCATATTGTAAATATTGGATAGTGTTTGATTAATTATAGTTTATATTTAAATTGAGGTTAAGTTGTGTGGCGTAAGCTAGACTTCGTCTTATGGTTTTTATAAGCATTGAATAAGCATTAGCAAATAGAGGCTTTTTTAAAATTATTATATTGGTTTACTATAAATAATTTTTTTCTTATATAATTTTAAAATCGCTGCAAAATATTTAATAATGACTGTCAATCATAGTGCCATAGCGTGGGTATTTTAAGAACGTATTTATAATGTATATTTTTTGTATTTGTTCTAATAGGTTATCCACCAGCCGTTAGGCCTATTTATCCACCCTACTCTGGCGACTCTTCAGCTCCACCACCGAGTCCCACCAACACCCAGGGACCTCCAGCATCTGCGGCGCAAGATCCTTATCGATACAACACGAATCCGGGATCTGGTTACAATCCCAGACCCGCTTATGGACAGGCACCAAGTAATGCAGGGCCGCCTGCATCGCAACCAGCCGGCCCTGGAAACTACCCGCCGCATCCAGATTACTATCGTCCAGAACAAGTACAGGTAAGTAGGCATAAAGGTTCAACTGACAATTTCCAATTTTTATTACATTTTTTTTAGCAGGGAACAGGCACAGCAGCTGGATACACAGCAGGAACTAATTCAAATAAGAACATGCCACCACCTGGGCCCCAGCCACCTAGAAGACATCCGGATTTTGCCAAAGACCAGCCCTATGCATATGGTCAACCTCGCACTCCTATGTATGGTAAGTATTTATTACTGATCTATTTGAAACAAATATAGGCCTTACAAAATTGTTTATATGGTGCGTTTTAAGTTTTCAATCTCTCTTAGTTTTTTTATGGTTTTTCTTTTTTTCAGTCTATATTCTATTTATTTAACAAGTTCATGATCGCTTTTCGGTTTGTTTATCTGTAATTGTTAGATTATTATTAATCTTTTTGACTTAATTTTAGTAATAATTGAGTAGTAGTTTAATTAGTAATGCGTATGTTCCAACAACGATCAAAGACCAGTCACTGACACCAGGATTCTGCGGTCTCAATAATCGTGGTGTCAGTGACTGGTTTCTGATCATTGTTGGAACAGACCTAATATGAATTAGAAGAATAAAAAAATCTTTATTGGGGATAATCTCAAAGGGCTATCGACCGGAGTCTTTCGCCCATGTTATGTATGTATATTTTTCACCATTGATTTCAGCGTAAAATATTTCATTCCAATACTAAGGTTTTTTTTTTATTCTTCAATTTTGTCAATTTATAGCGAAAACATTCTATTCTTCAGTGTTTATCATAAATTACTTAAACTGTTAAACTTGTTTACAGGCGGTTGGCCGAACAACAACCAATACAGGCCACCCCAATACGGCGGGTCTCCGGCTGGGCCACAAGTGGCTCCTCAGCAGTGGAACCAGGGCGGTAGACCTGGTCCTGGACCTGGAGGTTCTTGGCCGAGCAATCAGAACTATCAGCAGCAGCAGCAGCAACCTGGACAACCACCATGGCCTGGAATGGCTCAACCAACCGGACAAAGTGCGAATATAAGACCAGTTCACAGGCCAGGCAAGCCATTTCCGAACATAATGCCACCCACCGCTGGCGGCAAGGGCAATCAAGCGCAGCCCACACCGAGCAATACTTACAGTCATAGTCAGATGCCGAAACGAGAGATAACTTTCCCACCAGACAGCGTAGAAGCCACCGTTCCAGTCTTGTATCGCAGGAAACGATTGTGTCGAACCGATGTTGGACAAGTAGATGCCTGGCGCATTATCATGTGTCTCAGATCCGGATTACTATCCGAGAGCACTTATGCTCTTGATATGCTTAACGTTCTCCTATTTGACGACTCTTCAGTGGGTTATTTTGGTCTCAACCAGTGGCCAGGATTACTCGAACTTCTGATGGAACATTTCAAATGCAGCCTCTCGGATATGTTCGACGGACCCTATCCGCGTGAAGAGAACCTCGACGAACCTGAAGTTGATCTTGGCGGCGTTACTAAACCTATTGATCCTAATTTGAAGACTATCATTCTACACGAAACCACGAATTACACCTTGATATCACGCAAAGGGAATCCAGTGAAGTTGGTCGACAGACCCGAGGATATATTCGTTCAGGATCACGTCAAGGATTGGGATACGAAAGGGGATCCGAATCGAGCGAATATATTGGCAGAAATACCAAGCGATCCTTGGTATACAAGCGCCGATCATATTTTGCCGCCGTTTCAAGCTGAATTCGGTCATATTCCATTTCACATGCGATTGGATGACGATAAGACGAAATTCAAACAAGAGTTGAAAGAGGAAGAAGATGACGATGCTGCTTCCGCTGCTGCTGATGCCGATGATGCTGCTGAAGCGGCCGAAGCGGCTGCTACCGACGATGATGACTCGGAGAACTCGAAGAGGAAGATCAAAAGTCCTCCGCCGGACGAGACGCCGCCAGACGAAGCACCGCCACCTAAAATTTGTGACAAAAGACCTAGGACAAAGTCATTACTTGATGTGATATATCGAATAACGCATGATTCCGAAACAAGCGAAGCGACAAACAAAATAAAGACTGAGGTACTAAGTGAGAAAGTGAACTGTGAAGAGAGTCCAAGTATAGATCTGAATATTAGTGTAAATGGCGAGTGCGGTGATAGAGGACAATCGGTGCGGGATCCATCAGGTACCTTGAAGCGACGACGGATTTCCGATTACGAGGACGAGGCTTATACTAGAGACGAGGCCAGTTTGATGCTCCTGACTGAGAGCCAGGACAACATCGGCAAACGGTGCATTTGCCTGTCTAATATACTTAGGAGCCTTACGTTCATTCCTGGCAATGAAATCGAGTTTGCCAGAAGTGGCACGTTCTTGGCGCTCATCGGCAAGCTACTCTTACTTCATCACGAACATCCACCGAGGACACAGAAAACTAGAAATTACGACAGAGAGGTGAGTCAACTCAATTTTATTTCTTATTGGTAATATATTCATAATTGATGTTATTTATTCTATTTATTTATTGCACCAATCAATACTTATGGTGAATTAAAACAAATCAGATGGGACAACATGAAAAGAAAAAACCTATTTTCAAAGAAAAAAGGTTCAGCTACATTTGACTGCTTCTAAGTGCATAAAACATTTCAAAAATATCGCACAAAAGCTAATCGTTGATGCACAAGAATAGAGACAACTCAAAAATTTTCATTTTTGAGCTTATTGTGAAAATGTATATCAAAATCTGCATATTTTTATGTGAAAGAACGACATATTTCTACTTCTGAAAATAACCGCTGGGAAGCGGTTGTGTCGTTCTGTCCGTACTATAAAGTCGAGGTTATTATGATGAAGTGTAACACAAATCCAGTTGTGTTCCGACAGTCAGTTAAACAAGATTGTCAAATTATGACATTGTTGAAAAGATCGTTATCAATATGGTGTGAAAAATACTTTTCTGTTAGATTCATAACTCAAAAGAGGGATGAAAATAATCGTCGCCTTAATGCAGAACTATTATTGTATGTCACAAAATGTGATTTTTACAAGAGAACAATTTTTTGCCTTCAGAATAAATGAAAGGTTTATGTTTTACAATATTTTTACTAAGCAATAAGAGGAAAACCAGTGCAGTCCTATATGGGATATATAGGACACCATAGCTTCATTTGGTATTAAAAAGGAAAATTAACAATTTTTAGACATACAATAGTTCTGCATTAAGGCGACGCCGACGATATATTTTTGGGTTTTTTCTTAAAGCAAATTTGTTGTTTAAATACAAGGTGAAGACTAATGTTTATTCTCAAAAAATTCAAATATTTTTAAAATGCAAGATCATGACAATGAAAACTCATGTTTTTGAGTTGTGTCACTGTCTTTTATAACAACGATATACAATAGGCGTAAGAAAATACGTATTTATCCATTTTACTAACATAAATCTTGAAATAGAAAATCTCCAGGCGTTGAAATTCTATTCGCGATTCAAGCTAAATGATACGCCCTCTGTAGCAAAATTGAAAAAGGTGTCTCTAAGTAGGATATTGTTCAGTGTTGCCAGGAGTAGCGAAATTACGCTATTTCGTCGGATTTTTTAGACCCCTAAAGAAGTCGAAAGACCTTTTTTTAAGTAACAAAATTTGTGTCTAGCAATATGCAATAATGCTCTATATTTATTTAAGGATTTTTTATAAAACCGATTTATTATATTGTTTTTTTTTTTTTTTTAATTTTAATTCATTTATCAATTTTGTTTTAAAATCAGTTCATCATTTAGCAACATCGGCGTTCCTGTTCATTGTTTATATTTTAATTTGTATCAATTATAATTCGAAATTTTTCTTACTTATTAGCTTCAAATTTGTTTATGTGATAGTGTTTATATTAAAAATGAAATCTTAGAAAAAGCCCCCAGCAAATTGCAATCTATATGATGTTAAAGTCAAAATCATAACTGAAGTATTCATTATTTTCCAAGCATAAGTCATAAAATTTTATAACTTACGATAAATGGATATCTACAAATTCACAATGTTGATATTTTGCAAAATTTTGTTTAGAATCAAACTGCAATCTGATTTGTGACGGTTTTATTACTATTTACATGTATACAATATACTACACAGTTCACTTCATAATATAAGAGAATAAGAATAGTAAGATTTTTAAATAAGTTCATGAATAATAAACGTTTGGTACCTAAAATGTCCTTTAAACCACATAATAAAACATGTCCTGGGTTTAGTAAATAAATATTTATAGATATTCGTGAAGCAACCAATAGGTGAATATTTCCAACAAATTAAGTCATACACATGATAAATATATTTATGACGAAAGCAAGAAAACTAAATAAACGCAAAAACACTATTATAATGAGAATATTGTCCAAAAACAGTCAAAAAATCACAAATACAAAATCCCGCCAAAAACAAACACATGTAAATAAACAAACGTCCTACTTATTGATGATAATTAACAGGCACGTGAAAATTAATTTGAATCGAGAATAGCAAAGTTTAATTATCACTGTCAAAATTTTTAAATTCATTTAGCAAGAATTCTAGAAAATCGATAATAAGACAATCCAAACAAAATGGCTGCCCGTAGGAAATGACAGGTCACAGACAGACACATGATAAGGTTATAATATGGCAACACTGTGGGCCTGGTGATTTGACAGAATCAATGATATAGTTATATAGATTGATCATCCATGTTTTTAAAAATAAACATAAGCTTATGCCTTGAAGTAAAAATGCAGGTAACTATTTTTTTTACTATTCAAAGGCTGGAAATTGATTTTAAAATACATTTTTGCTAAACCGATTCAAGTTATTGAACATTTGCCAGGCAATATGGCCCTTCGCAAACGACCCGCTTTGAGCAATCTATATGACTATATGTATCATTGACCCTGTCAATGAAAACAGGCCCACAGGTTTGCCATATCTAAACTGTCAGTTCCCACTAGCAGTATTTTGACAGGTCGTTGGAATGCTTAATTGGATAGAATATTAAGGTTATTTGAAAAAGGGGGAATTTATTTTTTTGTCAGGTGGTAGATCTAAGAGGTGGTAGTTTTATTTTAATATGAATTAAAAAAATAAAACTCTAAATAAAAAGTTAACTTTTACATTTGAAAATTACCAAACTAAAAAGAGGAGCTGGTGAACATGCAGAGGTTTACATGAGACCCACAAACAAAGCAGCAGAACAGAGAGGAAGACTATAGGACCGCAGGTCTACCAATTAACTAGGACCACATTTTATCTCTTTTATTTATAAAGCAATTTGAATGAAATTTGGGAAAATCCTACTAGATATAATATTGAATGAATTGGACAATAATATTCTAACTGCATGGTGCACATTGACAGATTAGTACTAAAATTTGCCATCTAATAGCGATATTAGGTGCAATTAAAAAAGTGAGATTTTGGTAAAAAACAAATTCAATTTTTATCTGAAAGATTTATTTTTGACTGAAATAGCTTTGGTTTACAGTTATTCTAGTTATTAGAACATTATTTTATAGTTCATGACCTTCTACCTAAAAGAAATTAAATTTTTGCAATTTTAACAGTAGATCCCAAAAAAAAACTAATTATACAGGGTGACCCATTTAAACTTAATGGCATTTCCAATGAAAATTATGCCTAGTACGTTTGTACCAAATTTTTTAAATAATTAAAAGAGATATTAACGTGGCCCTGGTCTCATTGACCCCCCCCTCCAGCAGGAGAGCAGCATTGCTAGAAGAAGAAGAAGAAGAAGAGTTAAATAATAAATTAACAATATTTGTCTAAAATATTTTTAATTTCATATATTGTTAAATTGTTTTTTCTAATTCAATTTTTACGATTCAAACTCTTTCTAGTTTTGAGTTTTTTTTTTTTAATTCAGTTAGAGCCTGTTTCCATATCAATCAATACCTATTATATTTCTATGATAATGCGCTAGTTCAGTGATGATGTAATTATGGTTCCACTGACAATTAAAGTGACAGTAGATTTTTTGAGTGCGTTTTGTTTACCTAAATTATATCGTTTTTTTTTTTTTCACTTTTGTAAATATATTCCTACACTGAACTAGCGCATAGCTCTAAAAAAATAACTTTTTGTGCAAAAGGCGATTATAATTGCTAATCATTTAAAAAATTAGAACATTATGCGAAATGTTTGTATTGCAGTTGGAAAATAGTACATTAAGTATGTTCTAAGTCCGGAATTTCTGACTACAAAAACATAGACATTAAATATTTTAAGTTTAAGTACTTCTGCCTTAAATGTCAATAAAAATTATCAAAGGACCGAACTTTGCGGTACATCTGAAATTCGCTTAAAATAATTTGACGTAACTCCTTAGTGTTGCATGTACAGATGTATTTTCCAAGTAAAATCAAATAAGTGAAAGTAAAATATCAGATATAATCCCTTAGATTTTAATTTTTGTAGTAAAAATTGATGCTCAATCCTAGATAAAGTTTTTATTTATACAGGGTCGCCAGACGAAAATGTACTAGAACCATTATCAGGAACTGCATCAACATTTTAGACAAATACCTCTCTGATACATCAATTTTTGATTAAATAGGGCCACACAATTGATATATTAAATATTAAATAAAAAATTAATTTTATTTGTAGTTGTGTGGAAATATTAAATGTGTGAAAAATCATTTTTTACGTTTTTTGTTTTTGTAGGCTATGAAACGATGATTAGAAAATAAAAAAATCTCATATATGGAGCCATTTAGAAAACCGATAAAATATATAAGTCAGTAGTATTTTGTTGTTTCTTCTTTTTTATGCTATATTTAGCCTTTGTAAGAAGTTCAGTCAAATTAAAGAATGAGCAACAAAAAATGTTTTGAAAGCAGGCTGATAAAGACAGCGATACGAGTAATGTCCCGTAACTACGCACCGCTCCAAATTAAATCCAAACTGTCACTTAAAAAGAAGAATTGTATGCTTCGACATTTACTAATTACTTAAAAAAAAGTAGGAGGTTCTAAATTCGTGGGAATATATATTTATGTATGATTATCGATACTTTTTTACCATGTTGTCTGATGTTTGTGGTTAATTTTTTGTTAGAAAGGAGGTAAACTCCTCTTTTTTTGGAGAATGTTTTTTAAAACTATTATTTCAAGGCGTACTTTAAAAACATTTTTTGAAAAGTTTCGATTCCGTTCAGTAATGTCCGCCGGACATGTCTGTGGACATTTCCGAGCGATTCATCACTATGTATTTATAAGTAAATTTGATTGGTTTGTTAATAAATATATTTTGTTCTTATTTTAGGAGGACGCTGACTTCGCAGATTCATGCAGCAGTTTGCAAGGCGAAAGTGAATGGTGGTGGGACTTTCTTGTGCAAATTAGAGAAAATATTCTTGTTTCAGTATCAAACATAGCTGGGCAAATAGATGTATCATTATTTGAGGAAGAAGTGGCCAGGCCATTGCTGGACGGACTCTTGCATTGGGCGATTTGCCCGTCGGCGACCGGCCAAGACCCTTTCGCTTCCGTAGGCCCAACGTCGCTGCTTTCCCCGCAGAGGCTAGCTCTAGAGGCGCTCTGCAAATTATGTGTAACAAATAGTAATGTAGATCTGGTGATAGCGACGCCGCCCTTTTCCAGATTAGAGCGGCTGTGCACTGTACTCACCAAGCACCTGTGTAGATCGGAGGATCAAGTTCTTCGGGAATTTTCGATAAATTTGTTGCATTATTTGGCGGCCGCGGACAGCAGCATGGCCAGAGTGGTGGCAGTGCAAACGCCGTGCGTATCGCTATTAGTAGCTTTCATAGAGCAAGCAGAACAAAGCGCCATGGGAGTGGCCAATCAGCACGGCATCAGCGCTCTTAGAGAGAATCCAGATTCGATGGGAACCAGTTTGGATATGCTGAGGCGAGCCGCTGCTACGTTAGTGTTTTTGGCGCGACATCCCGAGAACAAACCTCTATTGGTGCAACAGGAATCGCGGTTGCTAGCGCTGGTTATGAGCCAGATACTAGACCAACAAGTGGCGTTGCTGCTATCCAAAGTGCTGTTCCAGATATCCCGCAGCTAATCCACTCTACCTCTGTAGATACTGAAAGTGTTTTTGTCTATGCTCGATGCGGCCTTGATGGTGTACAGTACAGAATACAGAATAGACCCGTGTATAGTTTGATTTCTCCCGGACTTTACCATAAATGACAGTGTGCGTGCGTGAGTGTGATGAGTACGAGTGTTGAGACTTGACACCAAGACTAGAGATGAGATCCAGATCTCTGAAGAAAGAATAGCTAAACAATTTTCACATAGTGTAATCCATTAATTGTACCATTTTGTAAATTAAGCGACATATGTCTTTCTGGAAAATGTTAAACATACATCCATGTTACTTATTTTATTTATTAATTTGATATGAAAATAAATAAACAGTAGATTCCAACTACTCTGGAATAATAATAGCCTGATCTGGTGCGAGACGGGTGCAGGTGGTGTCATCCATCCCATTTTGGTTTCCTGCACACACACTTTCTCTTCATTCATGTTTGGTATTACTGTGAGAATGCTTTATACATGTCTGATAATGAATTTAATTAAATAAATGTACAAAGGAAGTACCGAAAATGGTGTTTTTATACAAGTTTTAATTTTCTATGTATATTTAGAAATGTTTTATACATCCCATTTTAGCTGTTACATTGGACTCTGTTAAAGAACAAGTACGGACTGTAATCATTAGAAAATGGCAGTCTTGATCTAGAACTCAAATGTAGTTTAAAATATGTGGTGATATTTTTCTGGCTGTAGGTATAATTCATCTTATGTATGATTGCATATTGTAAAATAAGTAAATGCTAAATACATTAAAACTTTTTTAATTCACAACATGCACTCCTAGGGTTGCCATATTCTCACTAATTTTACAACGTTTATTGCGTCATTTCCACGTTTTTCACAAAATCTTCATCTTCAATACAGTGATTTAAAACATTATTTTTTTTCAACAACTTTTTTTTTATTGGACACCATGGGAAATCCTCATTACAATAAAAAATATATCAAAATCATTAAAACATTAATTACTTTTAAAAACAAACACTTATCTGTCAAATTAAATAATAGATCGTTTTTAAAATTATAAAACATCGATAAACATCATAAAAGATGAAAATATAAAATAATAATAATAATTATAATAATAATAATCTTTATTAAATAGGTAATCCTAATTTAGAAATATGTTGATAGTATTCATAGTTTCTACTATTTTAGTATAAAATACATAAAAGACGAATACAAAAATATGAAACCAGTATAAGATTGAATATTTTTGATTATTTAACACATCAACCAATGACTTTCCTATTTTTTCCAACACACGCCAATCAAAACAAACTATTTGAAAACACTGAATGCTGCAGTGTTTTCACCCAATTTTGCGAAACGTCAATGTGAAGTTTTTCAAAAAGGTAACGAAAACTGGACAAAAATCATTTTGGTCAACTATTAATTTATTAATTTTTTGAATAAAATTTGCATATCCTTGAAAAGTTGCTAGTATTACACAATATATTTAAAAGGAAATTTTCATGCACTGACATTAAGTTTGACAGTAATATCAAGAGTCTCTTTATTGCAACTTTTCTAATGCTTTCACTGAATTTACACTTCTATGTTTGTTTCTTGTTAAAGAACTAAGTAAAAAGTTCATAACAATTCATAGATCCTGGAATTTAAACAAAAATAATAAATCTACTGTACCCTCCTTTGAAATTCTAGACATTCAAAATCCATTAAGTTTATTATATTTTAATCATAGTTGCCGAATTTTAAACCTAATCTGAATGCACATTATCTCAGAAATGTGTCTTGAACAGTTACAATAATACATGCATACCCAATAACTGAAAATAAATTATTCACTTGCTCAGCCTACCGGTTTTAATGGGCAGAAGAGCCTTACTTATTCTATTTTTCAAAACTAAATAATTATACACATATACAGAATATTCCGAAATGATGTTACAGTATATTTACAAGGTGTTCTAAAAAATATTTAATAGTTTTCTTATAAAAAAATTCAAGTCGAGTTATCTGTATTAAGATGCCAAGAAAATTTATTTTAATTTTTTTTATTCACAAACTGCTGAATGTATGAAAAAATTACAAGAGTAAAAAAGTTTCTAAATTGCGTTTAATATTGAAAGCAGTATTTTTATTGTAACTTCTTTTAAATAAAAAGTTCTGAAAGAATCAAAAAGAGGTTGTTATAATCTCTAACCTTAAAAAACATGAACTGAAAAAAGAGACCACAAAATAGGGTTCGACTAAAGGATAATGCATACCAAAAATAGATCATTTTTTTTCGCCATTTTGGGACTTAAATATGTCGACAGAGAACCAAAATTAGAAAATGTTATAAGAACTTAATTAGTTGGTAGAACACCCTGTTAAAATATTGCAACATTATTGCGGAACACCCTGTTTGTATATAGTTTTTGTAAAATTGAATTAATATTTCAAAAATAAAAAGCTACTATTATTATAAAGAAGTGCATGGTAATAAAAAAGTACAATTTATTAAATAAATTCAGTGCCCTTTAATTTGTTTGTAAACCTTTGAAGTTGGGGTGTTATGTGTTTACTAAATGTAAATTAACAGTCAAATGTATCATATACCAAGATCATCTTTTATTTATATTCATTGGCAATTAAAAAAAAAATATAGTTGTTCAGATGAGATGTGACATAATTTTCTTTGTGTTTTCAGATGATTTTTAAAGTATTAATAAATGTAACGGATACATTTTTGCTAGCAATAATTTCTACATTGGCAGGTTTAGTAATTAGAAAAAGTATAGTATTTTTATCACCAAATGATACGTTTAAAATCATATCAAAATAAAAAAAAAGTTCAAGTTCCTTGTTAATTTTACTCTGTTCTATAAGCTGTTAAAAGGAAAGAATTAACTTTTTAATCACTCTGTAGGAAATTATCTTTAATATTGATAGGCAATAATTAGTTTAGTGATGTTTCAATACAAACACATCACATTTATGTAACAAAGGGTCATGTAATGATATATCTATCTTAAAATTCAGACTTTGCACTGTCTCTATTTAAAGGTATTTTGCTAAAAAAAAGTGGTCAGATCGTTTTTAAAATTGTGATACAAAGCACTTAAAATCTTTTTATTATCATGGAAGTACATATATTTTTTTTAATTTTCATATTTAAAAAACTCATTAGGTTGAAAGTTTGGGCACTGGGCACTTGATAGAAAGAGCTGTACTAAAAATTACATTATGAGAGCTGCATAGTATTATTGTTACATTTCAAGGGATTATAATACATAATTATATCTTCCAAATTTTTTTCAAAATTTTTGTGGTTTTGAAAATACATGCCAAAAAATCTTTGGTTCCCAATACCTCTGCTCTTCGTATTGACCATTATTTTATGCATTTCTTGATTTTTCGAAGATACATTTTATTTTATTGTGGTTCTTGGAATTTTCTTAGTGGGTTATCTTCGGATTTATGTGTTTGCTAATAATAATACAATGTGCTTTACCTTTGTATGGTTTTCAGTGCCTAATTTGAATCTTCTTCAGTACTTGTATTTATTGATATTAAATATTATTTTTGGTTTTGCTTAAAATCTAAATTTGATATATGCCCCTCACTTGAAACATTGTAAAGGTAAGATAGCATAATAACAACTTAATTACCTTACATAAAAAAAAAATAATACCCCTATAAACCATTGTCATATTGTTCTTTTAATTGTAGATTCCTAACAATTTTATACCTAGGATTACCAAATCAAAAAATTAATAATACTGATAAATATAAATAATAAGTACTGAAGAAGGTCCAAACTAGGTACCTAAAATCCAACATCTGCATCTCAAGAAAAGCCTGTGCTATTGATGTAAAACAAGTTAACTGAAAATTGCATATCATTTAAAAAAAATTAAATACTTGAAGTTAGATGATTAAAATGGACTTGGCCCAAATAAAGCAATGTCGGTTATAATTAAGGACGTATGGCAGCCCTGTGCGCTCCTCACCACAATTTCGGATTTTAGGAAATCAGTTTGAGATGTACATTTTTTTATCCTGGAATTGTCCTGTTTAATCGGAATTTCATTAGTCAGGAAACTAAAATCTCATACGGATATTGTAACTTACAAAACAGATAAAAAAGTGTTTATAATTTACAATTTTTAATGAACATACTCGTATGTTTTAAAGTTACGATAGTGTTCATAATTACATTTTTTTGGAATTAAGTATATCTGGAATTTATAAAAAAAGACAAAAATCTTGGATCTTTTTTATTTTTTCAAATAAATTTTAATCAAATGAGTGGCTAAAATGTATATTGAGGGCATTAGAACCTCAAAATATATATATACAAAAAGTCTAGAATAAGTTAAAAAATTATTTGCATTGAGCATATTCAATGGACCTTCCCGCGGGAATATTGAATCTAGTAATTTTCCAAATAACTTAATTGTTCCTTTTCTTATCCTTGTCTTACAAATTGTTGGGTTGGCTAGGACAATTATCCCATGTCATCGTTAATTTAAACAACTTTCATCGAGTCTATATAGTAGGAGACCAAGTGATAGTTTTTTTTGTACAAATTTGATGAATTGTACTTGTAATTCTTACCTTGTAAAAGATGGAAATACTTTGCTGCAGACCCACGACCAGCTATGGAGCGCTAGATGACGACGTCTTCAAAAAGCCAGTATAGAAAACAAAAATAGAAAAAGTTTGCTGCCATCTTGGTAGAGGTCGAAAACTGTCAAGTTTAAAAAATAAAATTATTATAATGTGTTTTATTTACGCAAGGCTCATTTTTTCTGTGATATAATAATGAAAATCATTTGCTACAATAGATATGGCGGTGAAATGTCCTATCGGCAAGCAAGAAGGCATTGTGACTCGAATTTCAAGAAGGTGACAGCAAACTTTTTTCTATTAACTTTTGGTATAAATAATAAAAAAAAGTTTCAAGCATGCCCTTCTAAGACAGCATTTTCTACACATACTTTTTTAAGACTTCTTCATCGAGGGCTCATGATTCTATTTTCTTTAAGGTAAGAATGTACGATGTAATAATTGTAAATAAAATGTCTAAAAGTGCCACTGGCTCTCCTACCAATAATATTAAATGTAATAACAAAATTACATTTATGGATGTGTAGTTGAAACCCAGTGTAGGAAACAACAAATTTTGTTGATTTTAAGCAGAAATATAATTCACGCATGAGTAATAGAGATTATCAATATTGGGAAAGGTTCATTAAAATTAATCCGGGTTTTCTTTGCTTCTAAACAAGATTTGTATTTGTTTCTCCACTTATCCCAGAATTTGGACCCCTTCAACTAATATTTATATATGACCTCAGATTCGTCATAAGTGTAACAGGTCCATCCCATCATGCATGATTATTGACTAGGGCTGCCGAGAGCCAGGTTGGACCCTGTGACAATTTTATAAAAAAAATAAGCCCATTAAACCCTTTCAATATCATATTTCTAAAAAAAAGCCTCAAGCAAAAACAATACTCCTTTTGTGAATTGTGAAATCTCTAAACAAAAATAGGTCCTCCCTCTTGGTCTCTTGTCGCAAACTTCTAAAAAACGTCCTCACCTAAAGCTGCCGGGCCCCCACTTGAGCCCGGACCCCGGGAGTTAGTCCCGGCTACCCCCCCTCCTGTCGGTCCTGTTCTTGACAGCCAATAGGCAATACAAAAAGAAAAAATACCTACCCTTTTCAATAATAAGGACCTCTAAAACAAATGTGTATGTAAGCAATGTTTGCAAACTACGCTTCTTTGCAGAACACAGTAATGGTCAATTTCTTGAGGATCCATGCAAGATTAATGTGTTAGAAAGAGAAATCGAATTTTGTTTAATAGAGGAGTTAAATTGTGTGGACAGCAATTTAAATTTATTTAGATAATGCTTATAGGATTATTAAGAACAAGAATCATGCATGATACAAAAAATTTCTTGTAAATATACAGGGTGGCCAGAGGAAAATGTATCGACGATTATTAAGAACTGCATTATTTTAGACAAATGCTGAGATACATCAATTTTTGATTAAAAGGGTCACATATCATATCCTTAAATGTCATACGTCATTTATCTCCCCTCATTTACTCTAATACAATTTAAATAGGGAAATACCAATTGTGACATCATTGAAAAAATAATTTTATGGAGATTTCAGCAATATGACTAATCGTTGCTTTTGATTTTAGCGGCCTCATCTGTTTCATTTTGTAAAATGTGCCGCTTCATGTGAAAGCTTATTTAATTAGTAATTTAACGTATAGCATAAATTAGTTATTTTGGTTTATTGTAATTAATAGTTAATAGTTTGTATTTATTGGCCAAAAGACACAAAAAGTTAAAAATTTAAGTCTAAATCGGTATATAAGTCTAAATTGATGGATACATAAGTTTAAATCGGTATATAAGTAAAATCGAGTATATAAGTCTAATCATATAATTATTAATGACCCCATATCTAAGTTGTTCTAATTTTTTATAAATATACTTAAGTTCGTTTTAGATGTATTTATTTTTTAATAATTGTTTTCTCAATATTTGACCTGGATTGACATAACTTCAAGATTTTTCAAATATTTAAGTTCATGTTTCAGTTTATTATGGTTTGTTATATTTTGCACTTATTAATAAAATTAGTTGTCAAATGAATTGTCACACTATACAAGGCGTAACAGTTTTTTCCCCTAGGGTTCGCTAAAATTAAAAAATAGTCTACTAAATTCTCCATAATATTAACTTTTCACTGATATGCAATACTTAGTTTTTTTCCTATTTTAATTGTATTATGCATTTTAAACAAAATCGCTGTCCTGCGAAGGGTTGGTATATCTAAAGGGTTGCTCTATCTACAACACGTGAAATCATGAATAATGGATTACATTTAAATATTTTAACACAATGAAAATATTAAAAAAAAAAAACTGCTTATACATTTTTCATAAATTGGCAGGCTTGGTGACTACTATATCGAACAAAAAAAATGGCGTCCAATAGGAAGGTTATGTCGCAACCTCCTTAGATATATGAGCTCTTACCACCGGCAGCTATTGTTTGACAGGTCGTTAGAATGCCTAATTACGCATTCCAAAAAAAACTGTAGGTGGGAAGGTTTGGTATGTCTAAAAAGTTGCGCCATACGATGTATTCTATCTACATGATGAAATATCATGAATAATGGATTAAATTAAATATATATGTCGAATACACTATTATTCAAAAAAATCCGCTTATACATTTTTCATAAATTAGCAGACTTTGCAACTACTATTTCGAATAAAAATAGCTGCATCGCAACCTCCTTAGGTATACGAGCCTTTTCACTGGTAGCTATTGTTTGACAGGTCGTTGAATACCCATGCAAAACTCGGAGTAGGGTTAGAGCAGGGGTAAATTTTGGTAACGACATCGGAGTTAAAAGAGTTAATCCTATTAATTTGAACGCTACTTCTGTTTAGGAGTTTGGAATTAATAATTAACGTAACTTTATATAAAATAATAATCTTATGTTGGCGTTAGCGGTTGAAAGAAATTTAATGTGGATTGTAAAATTTGCAGTTAAAAATAAATTGATGATGATGAGAGAAAGCATTTATAATTTTTGTCTGAAATGAGCAACTTTTGATATTCTCTTTAATAGAGAAATATTCTATTTAATCAATCTTCTTGCATAACAGCAGATATGAGGGCGGGTATAAATATTTCCATAATTATTGCAAAGCAATATGAAATTTTACCCGCAAATTTACAACATGGAGGCAAAGAAAATATAAATATTGACAAATCGCAAAACAACGAACGGGTATTGATTACTGAACAAGCTTGCTCCTGTGTGATGCCTCGCGGAGGTGTTGCAGGATAATTTACTCCATGTACTCTGCTCCTTACTATTTGAACGTAATAGAGTTAATGTGGGTTTCTTGAAGAATTAATTTGAATGCGGCAGAGTAGGCGATAGAGTGACTCAACGTATGCGGAGTGAGCGGCACAAACTCCGCTCTAATTGATTAGAGTGTCGTGAGTGAAGGGTAAGAACCAATGACAATTGAGGATATGATCAAAAGATGTCCTTAATTAAGCTTTCGTTTTGGTCTTCCGATATAATCTCTAAGCCCTTTCCCCCAATAAATGTATAGCTTTAAAGTTTATTTTAATCTGTTCCTATTTAATTTTTTGCTGTTGATGTTATCTTCTCTATATTAGGTTCCCACGTCATTGGTGACCTTTGTCTCTTTTTTCTCCTACCTTTTGGCTTTTCCTATTGTTTCCTTTGTAATTATTTCCTGGAAAGTCGATAGTTAAGATTAGTTACGTCATTATTAAAAATTCCATCGTTTTGTTTGAAATCGGTTCAAAATATGTCAAGTTTTTCATTTAAATCAATTTGTACTCTTAACTTCCAAAAAGCTTAGAAAAAAGTAAATTGATAAAACGATACTCCTGCAACAAAACTATGACGGTTGTTTAAAAAAAAACGCAATATTGTCCATTACACTTTAAAATACCACGAATTAACATTTTACAGTTTTGGAAGCAGTGTATTCCTATATGTTTATTTATTTTAAAGAACATATTGATGAAGAAAAAAAAGGTAAGAATATTTATATTTTAATAAGAATTTAATATTTTGAGAAATCTATTGATTAAAATCTATTTTGTATAGAGCTCTAGTTTTTGAAACTAACTTTATTTTCATTGTCTTAATCTTGAGTACTTTTAAATTAGTTATATTAAAACAAATTTTATTTAGATTAAATTTTAGACATTGGGTCCTATGATTGAACGTTTACGTTATCCGTAACGTACATGTTAGGCTCAGATTTAACAGTAATTAGGCAAGTTCGTATGATGAAAAACGGTTTCTAATACATTACTGTTATTTTCCGCCTGTTATGTTCTAATTTAACAGTTTTCCATCATACAAACTTGCTTCGTTACTGTTAAAATTCGACCTAACATGTACGTTATGGATAACGTAAACGTTCAATCATAGGACCCAATGTCTAGATATCCGTTTTGTGGCACAATCTGGCAAACCTGTTTACCAATATTTTTCTGTATTCATTCGGTGCTCGCACTGGTAAAATTTTTAGAGTTGTTTGTCATTGTACGCCGCCACACAAACACTTTCCCAGATGCAGTGTTGCCAATGGAAGAATTTAATTAATTAATAACTGTTCTGACAGGAATATATTATTTGTTTCGATGAAACGTTTAATAAAAAGAGAATTTTTGATTATTTTTTTGCTTCAGGGTTCTATAAAGTTGGACTGAAAGTAAACATACGATTCCAAATATTTTGAATATACCAACAGTGGCTGCTTTTTAACTTCAAGGTGGCAAAAATACCTTGACGTTTGGTGACTGTCTAGGAAGTCTGATTTTATTTTAGGAATAGAATTAATTTTTATGAAATATAAGTGAAAATGGCTACGAAGGGGTTGTATTACACCCCACCTGGTACGGACGGCTCCGAATATGCCCACAGACAACGGATAGCTAGTCATTATCAAACAAGGTAAAAAATCCTAACCTTAAAATGCGATAATAATTTTGCCAACTATTTTGAGAATATGCCAAAAACTACAGAATATACATAATGTTAATACAGGTTTGTTTTAGTGCTTTAAATAAATCAAGACTTAAGTATTGTATATTTTTCCATTACCTGTTGTTTTTTGCGATGCTAGCAAAGCTCTCGGCAGATATTTTAGACAAACTAGACATATTTATATTGGAAATTGAAGAACTGCACATTCCTGAGGTAAGAACTACATAACTTATTATAGAAGTTCCTAGTTTTTATATTTTTAGCCGCTCTGGTGGGAATACATATGGTGTATAAGCCTTCTGTTATCATTTTTGGGATTGGAAGCTATTAAAAAAAATAAAGTATCTCTAATGAGGAATTATATGACAGGATTGGTGCTGTTTGGATTTCTCCCCCTTTTTTATGCTGTTATTTATTATTTCTCGGATGTATGGACCTATCTAACATTTGAAGAAGACGAGGATTTGGAAGATGTTCATATGTGGCAGGTAATATATTTTTTTAATTAATAATTTGACAATATAATTGTTTATAATCAGAAGACTTAAAACTATATTTTATTACTAAAATCAGTGAAAGTGAAAATAATAAATTGATATTTAGAAGGATTCAAAGGGCATTTCAGATATGATTGAGTGAAGATGAAGATGTGACTTATTATAATATAATAATTATTAATTTTCTTTTCCAGGGATATCCATATGGAATGCTGTGGTATGCATTTATACTCCTATCCATTCAGGTTCACTTATTTTCCTTGTATTTTGCTTGGAACCTACTTACAGCATGGAGAGTGAAGGGTACCAAAAAATATGAATAAATCTAGTTAAATATTAACAGACAATTTGCTCATTATCAATGTTAGGTACTTCAGATAGTTTCCTTAAAATGCACTTGGAAGTCTATAACCAGTAAATTTGGAAATGTTGGAACCTAAATATCCCACATAGCACATTAAGAATATATTTATTTTATTAATTGTGTAGCCTCAAATCTTTACACTGATAAACAAATATTTGTAATATGTCACTAATAATGAAGTGATATTTACAACAAGACAGGTTCTACTACTATAAGCACATTGAGTGATTGTTTAAGGTCCCTGACAACAAGGGATGTCTTTTTTTTTAAACTAGGGTAAAATAATGCCATGACAAGGACCATTTTTAATATTACTTGCATTTCTAATAATCTAGTACGTGAGCTATACCAATACACTGCCTTCACCAGGTAACAGTATTTCTAAAATAGATCCTGTAACTTAGTAAAATAAATATATTTTTGCTATGTGTGATTACCTAGTTAAGTAACTGTAAGAAAGTTTACCCTGAAACATTGTACCTTTTTCATTTTTATACCTCTCAGGCCGACATCATCCATTGGTGTTTGATAATTTGTGTGTATATGTGTTTAGCAAATTGTGTCATTAAATCTTTATTTGTTACATATGTTGTTTTTCCTAGTTTATATATTTTTTGTATGCAATTAGAACTTGCATGTATATTTGCACTAGTTGTGTATTAGAAATATTTAAATCGATTTTTGAAATTTTATTTTAATGAATAAATTTATTTTCTAAAATTGTGTTTTAAGTTAAATTTAAACGCCTTAAAATCAAAGGTCAAGAGATATGGTACCATAGAAAAATTCAAAAAAATACTTTATTTCTCCTAAATAAGTATTGACTGACAAAAGTTAAAAAGCGCCATCTATTAGCAAATAGATGAAACTATAAGGTGAATATATATACATACAGGCAACTATCATTACACATTAATGTATTTTGTGTTGCTAAAACAAAATACTGTTAACTGTTTTTTCTTTTAGCTACTCGAAGATAGATGGCGTTTCCGCCATTTTATTTATATGGATTTTGGAGAAATTAAGTCCACTTTTCGTCGATTTCGGGTTTCATTTTATGAATAATTTATTTTCGTCTTCGATTTTGATGCAAATTTGGTTGCATATAAAAGAGAGCACAACAAATTAAGGGGTGAACGCAGTTGCTTTTCATCTATAAGATTTTAATGTTTTTCTCGGTAACTAATGATCAAATTATTTTGTAAATTCACCCAAATTTTTAAAGTCCACTTTTGGTCGATTTCAGATTTCATTTTTCTATTGCGTTATCCAAATTGATAGTCAATTTGACTGCTATCATTGTATTTAGAGGACGGTCGTTTTTTATCCACATTTTGAGAAGAAAATGCTTTGTACTCTAAAGCGATTTGTCTTAGAGAGGAACAAATTCTTTTTTTAAAATCTACCCATTAGATTCTATGTCTATGCCGAATTTCAGCTCAATCGGACACCATGCATTTTTCACGAAAAATCGAAAGGGTATAGCCTTCAAAAAATTTTACATAAAATTTTTTTCGTCTCCGATTTCACTGAAATTTGGTACAGAGAATCAGGATGTAAAACTAAATGTCGGAGTGGTGTCTGTTACTCAATATCTCTCCTCGTTCAGAAGTTGGAAAAAGATGCTCCAATTTGGACGAAACGTTGTATGCAGTAAGTAGAAGACAAGTACGTTTGAAGAAAGTCAGTTGCAGTTCTCTAAGTTTTCTAATTTTCACACAACTAGCCTCTACTTTTTAACCATTTAAGTTATGGAGAAACGGATGTTTTTTCTTACCGTTTTAGAGCTCATACTGTCCACTGTCCGATTTTCAACTCAATCGAAGACCATGAATTTTTCACGAAAAATCGAAAGGGTATAGCCTTCAAAAATTTTTGTTAAAATTTTTTTTTTTCCTCAGATTTTAATGCAAATTTGGGTACATATAAAAGAAAGCATGACAAATTACAGGGTGGACTCGGTTGCTTCGTTTCTATAACCGTTTAATATTTTCTTCGTTTTTCTCAGTAACTAATTATTCAATTACTTTGTAAATAAGCACAGATGTAGAGCAGGACAGATACATTAGGATGCTGTTTCCCTTTCGTCTCTATCTTGAGCAGTTTAGGAAATATTTAAGTTCAAAACTTCAAACGCGAATATCTCGGAAACGGTAAGAGATAGAGCAAAATGACCCAGAGGTCCACGGGCAGACCCTAAAATGAAGTACGTAGGGAGCTCTATTGACCTACGCAATAAAAACAATTTTTTTTTTCGAATTTTCAAAATTTTTTCAAAAGTCCACTTTTCGTCGATTTCAGATTTCATAGTCGAAATTTTTTTATTTAAAATGTGGACAGAACATGGCGAAACCAATACCTTTTTAAACTGGTCTGGCCATCTATGGACGAAATAACAAACAAAGAGCAGTTAATAGTAGAATACTATTTTGATGTCTTCCTTGTTTTCACAATTTGTCAGTAGATGGCGCCATCAGTACAACTAACTAGAATACGGCCATTTTTTATCCATAATTTTTTTTTGTCTCCGATTTCACTGAAATTTGGTACAGAAAATCAGGATGTAAAACATAATGTCGGAGTGGTGTCTGTTACTCAATATCTCTCCTCGTTCAGAAGTTGGAAAAAGATGCTCCAATTTGGACGAAACGTTGTATGCAGTAAGTAGAAGACAAGTACGTTTGAAGAGAGTCAGTTGCAGTTCTCTAACTTTTCTAATTTTCACACAACTAGCCTCTACTTTTTGACTATTTAAGTTATTGAGAAAAGGACTATTTTTCTTAACGTTTTAGAGCTCATACTGTCCACTGTCCGATTTTCAACTCAATCGGACACCATGAATTTTTCACGAAAAATCGAAAGGGTATAGCCTTCAAAAATTTTTGTTAAATTTTTTTTTTTTCTCAGATTTTAATGCAAATTTGGGTACATATAAAAGAAAGCATGACAAATTACAGGGTGGACTCGGTTGCTTCGTTTCTATAACCGTTTAATATTTTCTTCGTTTTTCTCAGTAACTAATTATTCAATTACTTTGTAAATAAGCACATATGTAGAGCAGGACAGATACATTAGGATGCTGTTTCCCTTTCGTCTCTATCTTGAGCAGTTTAGGAAATATTTAAGTTCAAAACTTCAAACGCGAATATCTCGGAAACGGTAAGAGATAGAGCAAAATGACCCAGAGGTCCACGGGCAGACCCTAAAATGAAGTACGTAGGGTGCTCTACCGACCCACGCAATAAAAACAATTTTTTTTTTCGAAATATTCAAAAATTTTTCAAAAGTCCACTTTTCGTCGATTTCAGATTTCATAGTCGAAAAAAAATTTACTCTCATGACAAAATCGATACATTTTTAAACTGGTTTCGCCATCTATGGACAAAATCACAAACAAGGAGTAGTTAATAATAGATTACTATTTTGACATGATCCTTGTTTTAGCAACTCGTCATTAGATGGCGCCATCAGTAGAACTAACTAAAGTACGAAAGGGTATATATAGCCTTCAAAAATTTTTACATAAAATGTTTTTCGTCTCCGATTTCACTGAAATTTGGTACAGAGAATCAGGATGTAAAACTAAATGTCGGAGTAGTGTCTATTACTCAATATCTCTCTTCGTTCAAAAGTTGAAAAAAGTTGCTTCGATTTGGACGAAACGTAGTATGCAGTAAGTAGAAGACAAGTACGTTTGAAGAAAGTCAGTTGCAGTTTTCTAAGTTTGCTAATTATCACAAAACAAACCTCTACTTTTTAACCGTTTAAGTTATGGAGAAACAGATGTTTTTTCTTACCGTTTTAGAGCGCATACTGTCCACTGTTCGATTTTCAGCTCAATCGAAGACCATGAATTTTTCACGAAAAATCGAAAGGGTATAGCCTTCAAACATTTTTGTTAAAATTTTTTTTTTCCTCAGATTTTATTGCAAATTTGGGTACATATAAAAGAAAGCATGACAAATTACAGGGTGGACTCGGTTGCTTCGTTTCTATAACCGTTTAATATTTTCTTCGTTTTTCTCAGTAACTAATTATTCAATTACTTTGTAAATAAGCACAGATGTAGAGCAGGACAGATACATTAGGATGCTGTTTCCCTTTCGTCTCTATCTTGAGCAGTTTAGGAAATATTTTAGTTCAAAACTTCAAACGCGAATATCTCGGAAACGGTAAGAGATAGAGCAAAATGACCCAGAGGTCCACGGGCAGACCCTAAAATGAAGTACGTAGGGAGCTCTATCGACCTACGCAATAAAAACAATTTTTTTTTTTTCGAATTTTCAAAATTTTTTCAAAAGTCCACTTTTCGTCGATTTCAGATTTCATAGTCGAAAAAATTTTATTTTTTATCTAAAATGTGGACAGAACATGGCGAAACCAATACCTTTTTAAACTGGTCTCGCCATCTATGGACGAATTGACAAACAAGGAGCAGTTAATAGTAGAATACTATTTTGATATCTTCCTTGTTTTTACAATTTGTCAGTAGATGGCGCCATCAGTACAACTAACTAGAATACGGCCATTTTTTATCCATAATTTTTTTTGTCTCCGATTTCACTGAAATTTGGTACAGAAAATCAGGATATAAAACATAATGTCGGAGTGGTGTCTGTTACTCAATATCTCTCCTCGTTCAGAAGTTGGAAAAAGATGCTCCAATTTGGACGAAACGTTGTATGCAGTAAGTAGAAGACAAGTACGTTTGAAGAGAGTCAGTTGCAGTTCTCTAAGTTTTCTAATTTTCACACAACTAGCCTCTACTTTTTGACTATTTAATTTATTGAGAAAAGGACTATTTTTCTTAACGTTTTAGAGCTCATACTGTCCACTGTCCGATTTTCAACTCAATCGGACACCATGAATTTTTCACGAAAAATCGAAAGGGTATAGCCTTCAAAAATTTTTGTTAAAATTTTTTTTTTCCTCAGATTTTAATGCAAATTTGGGTACATATAAAAGAAAGCATGACAAATTACAGGGTGGACTCGGTTGCTTCGTTTCTATAACCGTTTAATATTTTCTTCGTTTTTCTCAGTAACTAATTATTCAATTACTTTGTAAATAAGCACAGATGTAGAGCAGGACAGATACATTAGGATGCTGTTTCCCTTTCGTCTCTATCTTGAGCAGTTTAGGAAATATTTAAGTTCAAAACTTCAAACGCGAATATCTCGGAAACGGTAAGAGATAGAGCAAAATGACCCAGAGGTCCACGGGCAGACCCTAAAATGAAGTACGTAGGGAGCTCTATTGACCTACGCAATAAAAACAATTTTTTTTTTCGAATTTTCAAAATTTTTTCAAAAGTCCACTTTTCGTCGATTTCAGATTTCATAGTCGAAATTTTTTTATTTTTTATTTAAAATGTGGACAGAACATGGCGAAACCAATACCTTTTTAAACTGGTCTCGCCATCTATGGACGAAATAACAAACAAAGAGCAGTTAATAGTAGAATACTATTTTGATATCTTCCTTGTTTTCACAATTTGTCAGTAGATGGCGCCATCAGTACAACTAACTAGAATACGGCCATTTTTTATCCATAATTTTTTTTTTGTCTCCGATTTCACTGAAATTTGGTACAGAAAATCAGGATGTAAAACATAATGTCGGAGTGGTGTCTGTTACTCAATATCTCTCCTCGTTCAGAAGTTGGAAAAAGATGCTCCAATTTGGACGAAACGTTGTATGCAGTAAGTAGAAGACAAGTAC